TGTAGGGACACACCAAGCCCACTTCAAAGAACTAGCAGCGACGAAAGCCAACGGTGTTGTCACCTTGCGTCGGCAGCGACTGGACCAAAAAGCTGCACTTGAACACACCGCACAGATTACAGCCGTCTGCAAACTAATACGTGCGTTCTGCGCCTGCGTGAGAGGAATTAGCTGCCTATATCAGCAGCTATCAATAGTATATATTCGTCATTCAAAAGGAGAAACCGAAACAAGGATATACAAGATATACGCAGATATACGAAACATAGACAAAGCAGCACTTGCTTACCATTTTGAATATCAGTTATGTTGATAACTTTAAGTGGCTCATGTGAAAATATTTGCATATTGGAATGCTTGGGTAAGATCACGTAACATTAGAACAGGCTTCTGTCTGTGCCGCCTTCATTTACTTGCTCGTTTTCATCACTTTCACTTTAATTCTTGGGCACTGACTTGTTTGCTAAACTGAACATCCAATCAGAGTTCTCTCTCGCCGACAGCCCCAATGCCGATTCAACATGTTGAATCAGGCAAACTGCCGCCGACGTGTGGAACACACCAAAAAAAAAAACTAGCCTGACAGACACTCGCTGACGCCGGCTTGGTGGTGTTTCCTGGCCTTTAAGAAGGACATACAGACTCCTCATTACACCCTACTGCTCTCCACAGCCCTGAAAGTTTGGCTTGTCATCTGTGCTACAGTACAGCAGAATTTTACTACTTTGACACCGTCTTTGAAAATTATGTGTCCAGTCGGCCAGTTTGAGCTCGAGCTGTTACAGGTCGCTTAATGTGATTTACACGAGTAAGACATTATCCTGGATCAACATCCTTTGCTGGTCCTGAGACAACATTCCTATTAACCAATCACAGCCCTCTTATATTAGGGTTAGGTTTCTAGAGTGCGGGGTTGGGTGAAATTCAGAATTTAAGAACAAATAATTTGATAAGATTTAGAATTAAATTAAACCCCACATGATGCTGAAATAGAATTTGAATTTGAATGACATGAAGGATTTTCTGTTGCAATTCAACGAAACACAAGTGTGTTAAATTTCACTTATTCCAATACAATAAATAAAATTAATCAAATATGACAAAACATAAATGATTACATAATTAATGAGTAACTATGCTAATTTACTCCCTGAAATTCATTTTACTTTTTCTATTGTCTACCAACTTTATGTAGATAACTAAACAGATTCTAATTTTGCCATTAAAAAAGCAAATAAACAAAAGTCCACCACACTGTTTACGATTCATAACTGATTTTTACTTTATAAAAATATATACTAACCTCAAATTATCAATCTTTTGATTATATAACATATTGATATAATATTGTATAAACTGTAGTGCTCTAGAAAAGATGTTCTTTCACCATAAAAAATAAAACGAATCAAATTAAAGATTATTTATTGAATATAAATACAAATGTCTACAGGTGACATTTCAAACACTGATTATTCCATCATTTAATATTTCTAGAAATATCCTGTATGTTGTATGAACATGATTATGAGTAATTCATACTGAAAAATGTGTAACAAAATACACTAATAGCAGTAGTATTTTTTGTAATTTAATTCCCTTTCAATTCTACTTCCTGAAATTCACATTTTAATTCAGTTCAAATAGACTAACTGATGATTTTGAATCAAGTTAGGTTGAGGTTGGTTTAGAAATAGTGGTTAGGGTTAGTGCTAAGGTAAATGGAGAATTTATATAGAATCAAGAATAACAGTAGGGTTATGTTTGTTGATAGGAATGTTTTTCCAGAAACAACAAAGTAAGTTGATGCAATGTTGTCTTACTTTGATAAATCATGTCATGCATTATGTGTTAAGTATCGGGCTGAAAAAAAATGAACGGTAATGAAACTCAAATTTAGACACAAGTCTGAAATAACCACCAGGGTTTACAGCAACACCCAAGGAGTGAATGCAAGTAAGAGAGAGAGAATATGTGTGTGTGTGTGTGTGTGTGTGTGTGTGTGATAGAGGTGAGGTTACTGGCTGGACTTACAGCTTTTGGTTTAAATGGTGGCTGAACTTCCTTGTTCTCCAGCTTCTCCCAATCCATGTAACGGAAAAAGCCGTGTTCCCTGATGTCCCGCTCACCCTCAGGACCGCAGCCCAGACGCTTGCCTGGGTGTTTGGTCATCAGCTGAAACAGAGAGGACAACACAATTATGAGAGGACCACTGGTTTATAGTATGGCTGTCAATCAATTAAAAAAAATCTAATTAAATGCATAATACACAGAATAAGTTAATCAGAATTAATAGCATATTATCTGTATTTTCTGACAAAAGATTTTATTTAGATTACAGGATGAGCCAATATTAGTTTCCATGTTGTTACAGAATAGTTGTTACAGAATTTATGTATAAATTCTTCATTAATATATTTAAAATAATATACAAGTGTATACTACATTAATGTGTAACACTAAGAACCCAAATATTTAGTTCAAAATACAGCCAGGGCACCTGCGTGCCATATTCCAGTCGTGTTTTGTTCAATAATTTTCTTTTATGGGTCAAAAATACATGTTGCATTAACATCCCTGGAGGGGGTAAAACTAAATCCACAGAAATGAGAATGTCATTAAATTTTTTTTTAGGTCAAATAATTTTTACTTTGCCGTTTCAGTACAGCCTCTCTTCATCAACTTCCTCTGCACACCCATTTCTCTCCCTTTTTCCCCTTCACCGACAGCTGTTTTATTCCCCAGCAGAACATGTTATGTTGAATATAACAAAATCGTTTGGCTGTTTTATTCCAGTGAGTGACTTTAGCGTGTGTAGGAGAGATTAGGCGAGGGGAAAAGCTCAACAACTTGCCGCTTTTTCTTCAGCGCCTCAGTGCGCATGAAAAATTTATGGCAGCAGAGAAAGTCTTTCCAGGCTCTTGTAAGGCATAGGTGGAGGTGGTGGAGGGGGGAGAGGAAGGTCTCTGCTGACTGGCAGAGCCTTAACCCTCACTGGATCAGGAAGGGACTGGGCTGGGGCTGGTCTGGTCTGGCAATCCCTGACCCTCCATGCCTTCTGGACTCATGGCGCTTGCTAAGAGCCGTGTGCTCCACTGTCCTCTGAAGCTTTGTCATCATTGTCATCATTAATGTATACAGCAGATGCCAGGACACGCTCACTCACTGTGTGGCAGCTGGGCCATGCTGCCACAGAGACACAGCTGGCTAATTCTCTCTCTCCATTCATTCATCCATCCATCCAAATCTATCTGTCCAAAAAACATGTCTAATTATCTATCTGTAAAATACAATATATCTATAAAACCTATCTATATATCTATCTATCTATCCCTACCCACCTACCCATTCATTCATCCATCACATCTAATTATCTATGTTCTTTCCGTCTGTCTGTTCATCCATCCATCCATCCATCCATCCATCCATGCATCCATCCATCATTTTCAACTTGTTTCTGTTTCTGTACAGCTGACTGCTCATATTTCACAGCTGTCCTGCTCTGAACGACAGAGCCGCATTGTAATCTGACAGCATGATTCAGGAGAGGCTCTAGAGGCCGAACGGAGCCAAAAACACAAGTGACCTGCAGCATCGGAGTCAAGTCAATTGCTTTATCTCTCCCTCCTGGCCCTCTTCAGCCCACTACACACAAGTGTGGCAGGAGAGCTCTTCAGAAAATTCAGCACTGATGCTCTTAAACTTTAACTAGTTTAGTTAGTGACGGTGGCTTGGTTGGTTACATGAAAGACAGACAGCCATAAATATATAAAAGGTTACTTTTAAAGTAACAAAAATTACTTTTTACTCTGAAGACGTTTTAGTGTAAACCATTTGGGTGCTCATACTTGTTGCAATAACCAATCTGTAAAATACAATATATCTATAAAACCTATCTATATATCTATCTATCTATCCCTACCCACCTACCCATTCATTCATCCATCACATCTAATTATCTATGTTCTTTCCGTCTGTCTGTTCATCCATCCATCCATCCATCCATCCATCCATGCATCCATCCATCATTTTCAACTTGTTTCTGTTTCTGTACAGCTGACTGCTCATATTTCACAGCTGTCCTGCTCTGAACGACAGAGCCGCAGTGTAATCTGACAGCGTGATTCAGGAGAGGCTCTAGAGGCCGAATGAAGCCAAAAACACAAGTGACCTGCAGCATCGGAGTCAAGTCAATTGCTTTATCTCTCCCTCCTGGCCCTCTTCAGCCCACTACACACAAGTGTGGCAGGAGAGCTCTTCAGAAAATTCAGCACTGATGCTCTTAAACTTTAACTAGTTTAGTTAGTGACGGTGGCTTGGTTGGTTACATGAAAGACAGACAGCCATAAACACCTATGAGAATTTATGCCTCATCATTGTCCTGACAAACGAACCTCATGACCGCAGGTCCAATCTTAAAATAAATGTTTATTGAACTTCCATGGCTATTCTAGTCTTTCATGGTTACTGGATAAGAATTCATATTGGATAATCATTATAGCATGATTGCAGTGATTTTGTTGGCATGTGAATCTGCATAGAGAAAAAAAAAAAAAA